TGATTAGGTATAGTATAATCATTAACACTCAAGCATTGCTCAAACATCCACTTCACTACAGTTACAAAAGATGGGCCCATCTAAAGTGTTCTTATAATCAATCAGCTTCAATGCAAACCAGACTTCAAGATTCAAAGGCTTTATTGTCATATGCATGATAGCTTTTTTTATTGGTTGGTTATGAAAATCTGAAGTCTCAGTCTCCTCTAACAATGCAACATACAATATTCTGTAGACATAAAAACAAGTTAAAACACTGCAAGAAGAAATATAAATGAAATGTATCAAATGATTAATTGCACCAAATTCCTCTGCATGCAAATTACTTTTACTATCAAAATTAAGATGATTTATGTTTTGTAATTATAACTTTTAGTAGGATAAGGCACCTTTTAAAATGTGTAAATGTCTGTACATACATTAGTGGATTGACCTTAATGTGTGCCTATACATATCCCTTTAGGTGGCGTTTTGTTGTGCATGGTGGTATTGACGGCTTTAGTCGTCTCATCGTGTACTTGAGTGCTGCCACCAACAATCGGGCAGCACCAGTTTTAAGAAGCTTTTTGGAAGCCGCCAATGTCTACGGTGTGCCATCACGTGTGAGGTCAGATAAAGGTGGAGAAAATGTTGACGTTGCACGCTACATGGTGGCAAACCGAGGAGAGAACAGGAATTCACACATTGCTGGCAGGAGTGTCCATAATCAAAGGTACCTTAAACTTCAAGTCAAACTTTTATCAAATTAAGTCCTTGGTAAAGATTGCAATGTCAACTATATGTCTTTAGCTATTATTAATTGTATTTTTGTTCGTCTTCCTCTGTGAGATAAAACCATAGAACTAAAAAAGTTATATTTCTATAATACAAACACTATAATTATGACACCAACTGTATAATTTGACAAGAAGGATAACAATATTTTTCAAATATCTATTTAGTGGAAGTCCCAGCACGTTGCATGACCGGGCAAATTACTGTTGGAACTTGGATTTTGAATGTATTTTCCAGTCAAGAGAACCTTACATTAATATTGAACAACAACAGTTAATGTGGCATAAATATGGCATTAGTCCGTCTTTTTTTATACATCCATAGTATGTTCAGCTGATATATTTCCTGATCCAGTTTCAACAAAGCTTACAGTATAAAAACCTCACCCAAGTTTGATGAACTTTGCTCAAGCAAAATGATTTTTGCTAAATCCAATTTCCAGCTTTTTTCCAGAGGCATTATTGTGCACTTGCCACTTAATCAGGAACATTTTCCTATTGAAATCGGCAAAAATGTTAATACTTAGCTTCTAATTAATGTAATTCAATTCTAAATTTACTTACCATTTATGGTAGGTGAAAGGTGATATTTGTAAGTTTTTTTTTTTTGTTCACTGAGCAGACTAAATATTTTCCTTCCTTTTTCCTCAAAAGGATAGAAAGGCTCTGGAGAGACGTTTATGTGGGAGTGCTGGATCTCTTCTACACAATGTTTTTCAACCTAGAGAGAGAAGGCCTTCTCAATCCTGACTGTGAAGTGCATCTCTATGCTCTGCACTGGTGCTTTGTGCCCCACATACAGAAGCACCTGCAGTTTTTCCAGCAAGGCTGGAACTGCCACCGACTAAGCACTGAGGGAAACCGGTCCCCACTGCAACTGTGGACTCGCCATGAGCGTGAGGCCCAGCAGGAACATATACAGGTTTGATTGTATTCAATAGTTTTATTTTGACTTTGACTTTACTTTCCTACATGGGACCATGTTAACACTAATACCCACTTTTTCTGTCATTACACAAACTGTTTAAAACAAATAATACAAGTGAGTATAGTTTCACAATGTAACAAATAGTGGCCTGTTGTCGAGGAAACTGAATGTGATGGAATTATTTTATTCTGCATATCATCGGCACTTTAAACACTTCTATGAGGTATTCCTAAAATGCTGTGATCAACCAGAACAAGCGGTTAAGGAAGATAATGATACATCAGGGCTTTCTGCTCTCTAATGATTTGATTGATGTCAGCTGTTCATGAGACATTAATCAGGAATTCCAGGAGATGATACAAAACGGTTATATAAAATGAATTAACTGACAAATATATTAAAACTTTGATTTTGGTTGACTCTAACTTTAGCTCTTGCAATTGCAGGTTGACATTGAGTTTGGAGTTGACTGGACTGGACCATGTGCTCATCGCCTGCCTCATGTTATGGTTCCTGAAGTTCAGCTGCAACGTTCACTGACTGACCAGGAAGTGGAAAGACTTCCAGACCCTGATGGCCCTCTGTCCAATGTGTGGAATGTCTATGTACAAACTGTGGGCTTATTGACTGAAATGCTACAGTAAATGTGTGTGTGTATCAAAAGTCTGTTGCTGTGGGAAATGTAGTCTTTTAAAGTTTCGACTAGGACGATTAGGTGACAATATTTGACTGAGTTACATGAAGACGCTGGTACCAAGATTCAGTATATTTCGATTTTAATACAATAAAAATTAGATGGTAATGAAGTTACGTTCAGTAGTCATTTGAAACATGTGTTGCACTGAACATATGCTTGTTGTGAATCAACACTTACTGTAATGCATCAAGAAATATACATTTGTTACAGTTAATGAACATTTTGTAACGAATATCAATTTAAAACTTTGAAAATATATAAAGATAAACATGCTTTCTTTGTTATGTGCAATAACAAGGAAAGCATGTGTATCTTTTAGGGGTGTAACGGTACACGTACCCGTACCGAAATTATTCGGTACGGGCCCTTCGGTTCGGTACAGGTGTGTACCGAAGTGTACCGAACGAATATAACGTTAAACGTAAAAAAATTGAGAACGTGAATAACTTTTTGGAAGTAATCTCAGGTGCTGCGTCGCAGCATTCAGAGTAATTTGCTCACATTGGGTTCAACGCGTCATAGAGCGAGCAAGTCATTTCCTTGGATGAGAGGCATACTATGAGAGCTGGTCAGAGGGATGCGTTCAAATGTAGTCAGTAATTTGAGGAACTGTCAAAAATTAATGGCGAACGCAGATAAAGTTGAGCTCGAAAATCCTCCAGCATCATTGAAGTCTCCGGTTTGGGAACATTTTGGTTTCGCAGTTACGTACAAGGATGAAGGACAAAGACAGGTTGACCGAACCAAAGCTGTTTGTCGGCATTGTTCAACTAAAATTGGTTACGCGGCTGGCAATACATCAAACTTGCACACTCTTGAAAAGGCATCACCCGAACGTGAATATCACCGGTAGCAAAAGAAAAAAGACTGAAGTGCAAACCCAACTCCCACTAGCATTTAAGCCTCCACCACTCGCAGAAAGATCAGACCGAGCCAAAGCTATTACAAACACCAAATATCCTTATGTTGCCATGTTAGCAAAGCGCTACCTGGCTGCAGGGGCGGCGGGTGCTGTAGGCTTGGGAAGGCTAAGCTTTCCCAAATATTTGTGTCACTGCATCCTGGTAAAATAAAAATATAATGTATAATGTTTGTGTCTTTGACATTAGCGCTGCTAGCCACCTGTGCCCTGTGCTACGAAGCCAGTTCAACAGACCCTGGATATGTTTGAGTAATCTTAACTAACCCTAACAAACGAGATCTCGCTAAGCGGTCCTACAACGCTGGTTATCAACTCGGTAAATCAAGCCAGGGATTCTCTCTCCAGCTGAGAGCGCGTTCACGTTAAAGGGGCGGGGTTAGCAACATTTGACCAATCACAAACAGGGACAAGTGTACTGACAGCGCAGCGTCATACTTCATTAATGAAAAGTAAACTAATATTAGACAAATATGAACTTTAGACATCCATGACTTAAACATATAATCCAGGATACAAGCCACAGAGTTGCTGCAAGGTGAATACAGAACAACTCGTTAAAAAATAAATAAACTACAGAGTGTTTGAAAGCGTACAACAGTTTTATGATACTGCCCCATCTAAAACACGAGGGGATCTGACTTTAATTACATTTGAGTTGAGTGTTTCGTCAACTTAATGTGTTGCTTAAAATAATACATCTGCATACAGTCTGTGACACTGTAACTAAGTGTTGCACGGCCAGATACGGCTCAGCTGACTCAGATAAGGAGATATTGTGATATCGATGTGAGATAGATGATCTGATTGATGATGTGATATCAGTGTGATATGAATGATAAAGTGCGACACGTCGGCGTCTTCTCTGCATACGGCAGTTTAAACTGTATTTCCTTTATCCTGTAATATGACTTGATAGATTTAAACTCCGCACACTGAGCTCTGATCGGTCAGCAGGCGGTGCTTTCACTGAGTTGATCTCTTTTCTATAGACGCCGGAGGCGGGCAGCGTCAGGTAAAAAAAAAGTGATTTAGCCTTCCCAAACCTGAGTCTCACGCGCCGCCTATGCCTGGCTGTATCGGCTACCTCTGTCCCTAGCGAGAGGGTTTTCTCCACATCAGGAGACATTGTTAGTGCCAGCAGATCTGCCCTTTCGGCAAGCAATGTGGACAAGTTAATTTTTATTTAAAAAAACATGAAAATACAATGACAAGCAAGTCCTAATGTCAAACTGGCTGCTTAGGTGCTAGTACAGTAGGCTACAGTTCAAATACAGATTATTTCAGTTTATCGAAATGCTGCACCTTAATGTTCATTTTATTATATTTTGTATTTATTTGAGTGAATATTCACAGTTTAATAATAATTAAAAACCCAAAACTAATAGTTTATATTTTGTGAGTACTAGTACAGTAAAGTTCAAATACAGATTATTTCAGTTCATCGAAATGCTGCACCTTAATGTTTATTTTATTATATTTTGTATTTATTTGAGTGAATACATTATTCACAGTTTAATAATAATAATACAAATATATATATATATGTTTTGTTTTGTGAAAAAAAATGCTGCTGTACCGAAAACGTACCGAACCGAACCGTGACCAAAAAACCGAGGTACGTACCGAACCGAAATGTTTGTGAACCGTTACACCCCTAGTATCTTTATATATTTTCAGTGTTACACAAACTGGCCGGAGTATAGGCATTAACTGAGTTTTTTTTCCTCTCTGAAAACATACATTTTTGGCCGGCCAAACAAAAGACAACAAATCTAGTACTAAGGTGTGTCTGTCTCTTCAGACCATCCCGAACCCAGTTTCAGTGCTCCAAATAGCAGCAAGAATGTCCCTTTCAAACATACAGTACTCTTTGTAATGTCCTGGAAGTTTCAGCTGGTGAAAGCATGTGGAAGAGCTGGGGAAGTTGCTCTCCACCACGGTCACATCCAGGCCATGTCTAGGAAGCACATTCCATCCTATCCAGAACTGCACAAGTTTCCCAAGGATAACGGGAGATGCTTTATAAAACAGAGAATAAATTCATTTTATTATAATTGCTTTCAGTTAATAGTTAAATAACAATAATGTTACTTAAATTACGCCTTGGATTGTTACTGTAGCTTTAAAGATAAAAACAGAGGAAGCGCAGCTTTCGTTATAATAATTACAAACTTTCAGTAAACAAAGCTTGAAGACGTTGTTTTACCCATCTCAATAAATGTGCGCAGGAATCCTGTGAGCCTACAGGAATCCTCCAAAGAGACTTCACTGTCTTCATCCTCATCCTGTGTGGGCCAGTTTATCTTCTCCAACACCATCTGACAGATTTCGTTTTGAAAGGAGCCCAGTGAAAGCACAATAATAAACAGAACATACAAGAAACTGCAGGTTTTGCTGTGTAGCAGCAGAGTAGTCTAAAGATACAGTTGTTCTATTGGTTTAGCTCCTTTTAAGCAGCAAGTAGCATCATTTCATTTCAAAATATGTTTGCGTAGGTGAATGTTTGTTTTAATAAACTTAAAGCAATGTAGGTCTGAGAGTAGTAAATAAACCCAATTTCTAACTCCTGTGAGTTAGGAGGAAGGATTTGACTGAGCAGCATGAGATCACTTACCCGTGGTGTGCACTGCAAATCAGATGCTCTTGGAAAGAGAAGGGGAATCGTGTCTTTCCTCTCCGTCAGCAGAGGCCAGATCAGTGTCTCTTTTAAACCCCTTCGTAACTGCTTGACTTGTCTGGAGGTTCTTCCAAGGACCTGCACAATATTTGCATCACAGTAGAAAAGCAAAGCAGCCTGATTGATCTAATAGCCCAATAAGCATGTTTTAATACACTATTAACATCCAAATATGTATTTAACAAAAAAGCTCAAATGTGATATGCCAAAATGAGGTCCTACTTCAAAACTTCAACTCTGATTAGTCAGTCTGATTCATATGACCTGTTAAGAATACTCACAGCATGGAGGATCAGTTTATCAAATAGCCATCTCCTGTTGTCACATGTGACTAGAGGCAAATCCCAGGACAGTGCCAACTCATTGATGAGCTTTTTTTCTTCTGATGATAACTCTGCTGTTCCCTCCAGCTAATAATGGCAAGTAGAATGAATTTGATAAGAATCGTTAATTTCTCAATACTTGTATAAACATTCAACTTTGATACAACATAAGAAGTTTAACTTATAATCAGCATGTTAGTTGGTAACCTGTAAAAGCTATGTTTTGTCAAAAAACATCTTATAGGAGGACATCTGTAAGTGTTCTAATGATATTTAATATATCAGTGCATGGTGTTTTATAATGCTTCAGTAACCCCTGCTGGTGCAAAGTGTAGCCACTTGATGTTAACAGTATCTGAAAGTAGATCAGCTAAATAAATAATATCCAAAGGTTGAATAATAAAATAGGTTAGAAAAACATTGAACATACCAACTTGATTGTCTCACGGATATCAAGGTCAACACAGTCCTTAATATCTATTGTGGCTTCTTCTGGGGATCCACCAAAGAGCACATGCAGGACAGCTGGGCTCAGTCCACCTAGGCATGGCCCATCATGGAGGAATGAATGTCCAATCATTCGGCCAGCAACAACAAAGAAGTCACTCTCCAAAAGGAGATGAGAAGTGGAGGGAATTAGATGATCTTGTTCTCCTTCAAAAAGAAGAGTTCCTCCAGGCACTGCAAATATAGGAAAACAGTCAAAGTAAATTGATAGTAAAGTAAAGGACATAGATATTCAACTATCACAAAGCATTAGTAAAGGAATGATCAAACTGCCACTGGATACTGGTTGATCCTGTAGAAACCTACATGTTCACAGCAGCTACAATCACATCAGGTTTTAGGAATACGTTTTGTTTTCTGGGGTTAAGGGACAGATCTGTGTTCAGCCTGGAACTGGTACAAAAACACACATAACTTAGTGGCTGAGACCCAGCGATCAGCCATAGTAAATATTTACTTACCAAACTTCATCTCAAAACCAGCCTGAAGTTTTGACATGATGGTTGCAAAGAAATGCCGAGTCACACCATCACCAATGGCTGGATCTCCTTAAAAATGTAAACACACACTACAGACATCAGTTTAACGAAAATATGGTTTGTTCATTTTTTTATCTTGGATTTTGTTTGTAACCGAATTACCCTTAAGTGTGCATGTCAAGGGGCAAGCCCACTCAACATTTGCCTTCTTATAAAAAGTAAGGACTGCTCTTTCCCTTTCCGCTGCACTGTCTCCAAGATCCATAGTAAGACACAAGGATTTTCCAGTTGCATGCTGGCTTAAAATGTCTTCTTTAAACATCTTTGTTGCCTCTGTGGGATCTGGCGCTATTCTCCAATCTAAAAATAGTTTAAAAGGTTTCCAAATTAATATTGGATCAAGTGAAATGTAGAGAGCAACAACTTATTGCAATACATGATGTACTTAATAAAGGATGTTACACACCAGAGAAGCCACTTTCCTCAGTGGGATCGATGTCAACTACCTCAGGAGAAGGCAACATTTCCTGAGGTGGCACCAAGTGTCTTGTGTTCCTGGCCCTTGTTGTCTCATTTCCCTGTGCTCCTGTGAACGTGCTTTCAAATCTAACTTGACTTCCGGAGGCCCTTTCAGTTGTCAACTCAATCTGTACCTCACCGCTGCTCTGTGATGGTCTAGTGTAAAAAGTTATTGGTTATTTGGTCTAGTATACTTTACATTACATATCACACTCTAGAAAAAGATGGGCATATACATAGAATGAAAAGTAAACCAAATGTTACTTTTCCTCAAAACCAACATCCAGAATGTATATCTTTCATATTTAAATGTATTATAGAGGACAGCAGAATATGGTGTTACAGAGGGATTGTTGGAACAAAAAGTACTAATATCTGGCCCCATAATTATAAAACCTCAGATGTGGTGATATGTCAAAATATTTTACATCCATTTGCAGCATCCCACAGCCTTATGCTTATTGGTTATTGTGTGTCTACACATGCAGTTGCAGTGTGCCTGGCGAATGTGATGTTTAGTTCTGTAGAGAGTAATACCTCGTGCAGTTATTGCTGTGATCCTTGATTCTGGAAAAGGGGAACTCCTCTCCACAGATGACACATTTCTGATTTGGTCCAATTAACACGTTGTCGCCTTCTGATCGACATGCCTGTAAACAAAATAGTTTTAAACTACATCACAAGCGAACAATTATGTTACTGTAAGTCACAGATTCCACTTTAATATTGTGACACCACTATAGAAGTGAGGAACTTACAGGGTCCAAATTCAGGGTTCTTTGCATTGGTCTAATGAAAACCGTAGAATGGCCAATCTGGGTCTGAGGGTCCTTCAAATATCTGACATAGTAACCCTCATTGGGACAGGGGATCACAATCAAGTGGCGACTTCTCGTAGTGCCAGATATTTTTAGCAACTCGAAACCGCCACCGTTCCGCAGTTTTGGATAGGCATCCATCAAGAATTCGAGGAATTCATTTGAATCTGTATGGCTGCCTAGAAATAGATGATACACATAAGAGATCTAACATAAAGATAATGTTATGATTGTAAGGGTAACTCAATATATTTATATATCACAAATGTACATTTACCATAAAAAATAGACAGAAAAGGAAAGAGCGATTGATAATCGTCATTCTAATGACTGACAGACCTTTAAATGTGAGCCGTTTTTCACCAAAGCCAGCAGCAGCGAGTCTTTCTTTGGCGTATCGGTTGGGGACTAAGGCTGCATTCTTGTCCTCAAGGCAACAGAATAAATGGGTATAAGAATGCAGGTGTGCAGGACCAGAAAGGGTTTGCCGCCCTGCCGTCCTCCTCCCTCCCATGTAGGGGCCAAACAGTCTTGAAACTTCGGCTAGGATCAAGTTAAGAAGATAAGCAATATTGAGTGCAAGGAAATAATGATTCAACGAGAATCCAGGGGGAAAATGTTGGTTAGCGTTAGCATCACACACTATAAATATAATGATCCCTTCAAGCTGGTGGACAGAAACTGAATCAAATAACTTGTCATTGGCGATATAAACTTAGTAAACTGATCGGATTTGCATTAAAAATAATTTGATGCAAAGACCTACCGTCCACTGAGTGTCTGGGAGTCCCGTTATGTAACGGATGAGGAGGAGGAGACGAAACTGGCACGTTAGCGGTCCTTGGTGCTGCACAAAACATAACATAGCGCCACATTGGGTACAAAACTGTACATTGGCATTTTAACACACAGATCAGTTTTTTTACATTGTCATATCAGTCTTACACTAGACCAAAACATGAGTCACTTACAGTTTTCAAGCTGGTTAGCCGCATCCCGCAGAAGGTCTGCCAGCGCCCTTCCAGCCGAAGCCATTATTAGCGAGTTGCCGACAATGTACACAGAATGTACAGATGTGACTTGCCACGAATCTATTGCTTCTGCCTGGCTCCAACAATTGGCGAATCCTGCTTCAGACTGAGGTTAGGACCGCCCACCTCATTAGCATACGGACACATAAATACATAAATAAATAAATGTATGTCGCGTAAATGTAGAAATAAATGAAAGATATATAATAACGTGTGTTCTGTTTTATTTTCGACTTTTATTTATTTATTTATACATTGATGTATTTATTTCCATATTTATTTATGCATTTATTCTTTTATTTATTTATTTGTGTATTAATTTCAACATTTATTTATTTCTGTATTTATTTCGTCATTTATTTATTCCTGTATTTATTTATTTATTTACGTATTTATTTATGTATTCCTGTATTTCTTCATACATTTATTTATTTATACTTAAGTCATGTTCCGTCCTCCATAGTCAAGGTTCAGAGGCACATTTTGCAAATATGGCAGTAGCCATCGATCATCTTAAGATAAGATGTATTTGATTGATTCCAAGTTGGAAACATTTGCGTTACATCAGCATGTGTAACAGTTGTAAATATGCAGTGGTGTTTATTTGTAAATCATTTAGTATAATCACACAAATTCTGTGTTTTATATTTAATAATTCTGTGTTCTTTATTTATTGATTGTTCAATACCTGACAAGGTCGGAGATGAAAAACTTGGGTCGCAGGTTCCTCAACAGTGTATTACAAGACATCTATCAATATGTGTGTACCTCCACCATTAAACTGTCGTATTCTGCACATTTATTATACTATCTACATACATCTTATATAAGAGTATAATACATATGTATAATATCAGTTAAAATAAGTGCTTCAACATAGTTAACATTGCTGGAGGTATACACAAAGTTTTTCATTCGTTGCATAACTACACCGTAGTTGTGTATATGATATGTCAATAAACCTTAGAAAATCTTGAAATCTTGAAAGGGATGTGCAAAATAGTGATTATATACAGTCTTTAATGAACTATTAGTAGAGAATAACGAGTAATGAATATACTTTATAGGGATCCTATTAATATCTAATAATAAAAATAATGAAATTCAATAACATGCTTTAACCACTAGGTGTCCCTTTATATCAGCTGTGCACCTTTATGGTGTAAATATAGCCTATCTACCAATTGGATCAAATATAAAAGTCAGCCGAATTAGTGTTGATACTGCAAGGAGACGTATTGTGTGAAAAGAAATGTAAGATGTTATTTAATTGCTGATATATTTATGATCCATGTCACGTTTTCAGTGTTGGCGGCAGTTCCTCATGTTTGTCTAGAAGTCTTCTCATCAGGGCTCTATAAATAGAGAACTACGGCAGATATGTAATATTTAATGCAGCCGAACCGTGTATTACAATGCCGTTATGTGATGACCTCCAAAGAGAAAAGCAAGCACACTCGGAATAAAGTGTTTTCGGTCTGTTTCCGGTATTTGTTTATGACGATGTGATGTGAGACTGGAATTGCACAGGGGAAAATAACGTATCTATGCCACAATTTTAGATGCGGATTTTGTTAAACTAATACGTTTGCGCTGTGGACCAACACTATACATTGGCGGGGAAGGGGGTAGCAATAAAGCTTACACCATTAAACTGTTACACAACATAACAGAAATAATATCGATAGCAGCATCCCTAGCAACCACCTTGGTAACAATGAAAACGTTGTATCGACACAATTTTCTGAAGTAATCTTCGTTATAACTAGCAAACTAAAGATCATGTACATCCACTGCACACATCATCTGAAATAACAACTCATATTTCTCGCATCAAATGACATCAAAACGCATTTTAATGGCCAAACTAACTTTAAAATAGGCATTTTACACCGAGAATAAAGCGAAGTTCGGCCATGTTTTTTTTTTTCTGCAGGGAGAAATGTGAAGATCACGTGACATAGACGCCAGCCATTGGAATGAATGGTGAAAAAAAACGTAGGGATCTTACAATTTCAGAGGCGTTTTTGTAGAAATACTACGTCCTACGTTGTGGACCAACGTTTTTATTACACGTTTTTTTATGAGACTGCTGCTCTCAGTGCTATGGCGGCTATCCTCAAAAAAAAACATGCACTGGAGTGTGAAGAGCATAGCCTCGCAGCAGCCAGAAAGTGTGAAGAGGAGCAGATCAGACAACGCAAGGAGTGGCTTGAATTGCAAAGTGGAATTGCTGCCCATACAGCAAAGGCCAATGTGCTCGGGTACAGAGGATCTGAGGTTCAAAGCTCAAGGGCTGATTCAAATGGAATTAATTCATATCTTGACAGAGCCAAAAGGAACATCTCTCTTAGACCATCTGCTCAGAAGGTCAGTTCAATCCCTCACCAAAAGGGGGCAGCAGAGCGGTAGTGTCAGTGGAGACTCTGCACAACGATGCAAACTTGCAGTACCATAATCCTACAGAAGAGGATAGGCACTTTGCTCTGTCAATGGGTGCGCGCCCCAAAGATTCAAACCAGCAGTAGCATCATCCATCAGTAGGTGGCAGTAACACTCTATTGCCAATGGAGGCATTCACAGCCACAACAATACCAGAAGGAAATGGATCTAAAGCCTATGAACTCAATCCCACGTCATCTCAAGTATGTCAGCAGACATTCTCTGCCACACAAGTCACTCATGATCTTGACACACATTTGGTGCAGGAAACCAACCAACATACGGGTTCAGTGCAAAGTAACGTGAATCAAGCCAACATTATCAACATCATGCAAAGGCAAAATGATATCACAGCTCTGTTGGTGCAGCAACAGTCAACATTGTCACTGCCACCAAGAGAAATATCAACCTTTGATGGAGACCCTTTGGAGTATAGTGCATTCATACGAGCATTTGAACATGGCGTGGAAGCAAAGACTGCTACTAATGTTGATTGCCTATACTTTTTGGAACAATACACCAAGGGACAACCCAAATAACTGGTTAAAAGCTGTCAACACATGCCACCCGACAGGGGATACCAAAGAGCAAAGACACTTTTGAGAGAACGCTTTGGAAATCAACAAATAATAGCCACTGCATACATGGAGCAAGCGCTTGGCTGGACACCAGTGAAAGCAGAGGATGTTAAAGCTTTGCAAGCTTTTTCTTTGTTTCTCCGTGTTTGCTGCAATGCCATGGAGGACATAAGCTACATGTCAGAGATGAATATGCCAACTAACATGCGGGCGATGATCTTAAAGTTGCCCTATAAAATGAGGGAAAGATGGAGAAACCTTGCTTACGAGCTACAGGAGAGGCAACATCGTCAAGCAGGTTTCAGCGATATTGTCAAGTTTGTTGAGCGACAAGTATCTATTGCCTCTGATCCGCTGTTTGGAAACATTCAAGACACGTCCATCTCTTCACCAAAATACATAAGTGGAAACAACATATCCCAGCCTCGCAGCCGCCAAAAAGGCAGCAGTTTTGCTACTTCTGTTGAAGCTGTCAATCGTGGAACTGCACCTGAAAAGCAAAAGGAGAATAGCCTACTGTATAGGCCAAGAAGGATATCTTGTCTGCTGTGTGAAGAGGATCACAAGTTGGAGACATGCTACAAAATGGAGAGGATGATGCACACGGAGAACATTTGTTTTCTGAAAGAAAAGGGTGCTTGTTTTGGTTGTTTAGCTGTTGGACACATGAGTAAAGACTGCCGCAGCCGCCTGTACTGCCAAGTGTGTAATTTAAAACATCCCACCATCCTCCACATCCATTCACCGAGAAAGGAAGTCTCATCAGAGGACATACAGCAAGAAACATCAATAGAGGATCACAAAGTTTCTACCAAAACATGTGGCCATATTGGGGCTGGAGGACAGGAGTGTGCCTTGCCCATTGTGCCTGTTCAGATCAAGGCTACAAAAGGCAGAGCACAGTGATAAACACTTATGCCTTCCTAGATCCTGGTAGCACGGCCACCTTGTGCTCAGAGCGACTGATGAGGGAGCTTAAGATGACAGGAAGAAAATCCAAATTCCTGTTGAGAACAATGAGTCAGGAAAAGCTTGTGGGTAGTCACATCATTTCTGGGTTGGAGGTGGCTGCACTCAACAGTAACAATTACTACGAGCTACCTGATGTGTTCACACAAACTGTAATGCCTGTGACTCATGACAACATTCCAAAACAGGAAGAGTTAAGTGCATGGCACCACTTAAACTCTGTGAAACTTCCTGTCATTGACGCTGACGTGGAGCTGCTAATTGGAGCTAATGTCTCAAAACTCATGGAACCATGGGAGGTGGTGAACAGCGATGATGATGGACCTTATGCTGTCAGAACCCTGCTAGGGTGGGTTGTCAATGGACTGCTGAGAGGAGACCGCCAAATTGTAAACAGCTGTCCCACCATTGCAGTCAATCACATATCATTAACCAGCTTGGAGGAACTGCTGGTAAAGCAATACAACCACGACTTCAATGAGAGATCAGCTGATGAAAAGCCAGAAATGTCCAGAGAAGATCTTAAGTTTTTGGAAATCATGAAAAGTTCTGCCAACCTCACTGATGGACATTACAGTCTGAAATTACCTTTCAGAGAAGAGAAAGTTTCAATGCCAAACAATCGCCATGTTGCTGAGCACAGGGCTCTGTGTCTTAAAAGGAAATTCAAGAAAAATGCAACATTTAACGAGGAGTGTCAACTTTCTGGGCGATGTCATAAAAAAGGGCTATGCAGAAAGAGTGCCTGAACAGCAACTGGAAGGCAGAGAAGGAAAAGTCTGGTACATCCCTCATCATGGCGTGCATCACCCTAAAAAGGGAACCTTGAGAGTTGTGTTCGAGTGCAGCGCAAGCTTTAAAGGGACATCATTGAACAGCAAGCTACTGCAGGGATCTGATTTGACAAATTCCTTACTTGGAGTCCTCACAAGATTCCACCAAGAATCTGTAGCAGTAATGGCCGACATTCAAGCAATGTATCACCAGGTCAAAGTGGTAAGAAATTATGTCGACTTTCTTCGCTTTCTATGGTGGCCAAATGGTGAGCTGACATGACAACATCTAGCTGATTACAGGATTACTGTACATTTGTTTGGTGCAATATCATCACCCAGCTGTGCCAGTTTTGCCTTAAAGAAAACTGCAGAAGACAACAGAGCTTATTTTTCAGCACAGGTGGTGGACACCATAAAACACAACTTTTATG